TTAAATAAAAAAACAGTGAAACTTTATTACTTAATTTTAAAACTTAAAAAGTTTATATTCTTAAATAATAAATATTAATTATTTTATGAAATATATTTATTTATAATAATCAAATTAAATAAAATTGAATGATCTTAAAGAAATGAAAATGGTAGGTGGTCACCTCCTTTGATTTCCCACGCAAAGAGTACAGGAGACGCAGTCAGAAATCAATATTGAAAATTCGATCTCTAGTCCTTCATTCTTTGTCCAATAAGAGTGAAACCAGTTTTCGGGCCCCAGACAAGAAAAATTGCACATATGGTAGGGGCTTCCGGGGCCGGCACAACAATCAATTATTTAATGTGAAGCGACAGCATATAAAGGGTTGGGTGCTAAGCCAATTTTCGTGGTCCACATAGCTTAAAAGGAAAAGCTTAAGAGGAGGGTAGTTTTCATAGACACGTCCAAGTTTAATCAGCTCTTCAAATTTCTCCCCTTTCAATTTCTCAACTACTGGGTGGTTTTGTTTCCTATTCAAGTTTCGTCGTGGCCTGCTGTGGCATCCCATATAATACCCTTCATTTGCAGACCTTGTACTTTTATCATTTCCGTCATTATCACCTAAAAGTGACCACCACAAGCAGTATATATACCTCTATAAAAGTTGTGCATTATGCTCATACATACGGACAATATATGAGGGTAAAGTGATCCTTAATTATTTTAGAACTTTGATTTCGGAGTTAAATTTATCAGTGCATACAGGAAGGAACTTGACTCAAAATTTAAAAGTTTAAAATTTTTTTTTTCCTATCATTTGCAAAATAATGTAAAAATATAGTTATTAAGTTAACTAATTTAATAATAATATTTTTTTTATTAAAAGTAAAAGATTTTAAATTTAAATTACATGATTTATAAATGAAGTAAAATAAAAAATGAGAGAAGATTACTACTTAATGTAGAATTCAAAATAAATAAATAAATAAAATATATAATATATTTATAACATACAAAATAATTTCAATAACAAATTATATAATTAACTCCAAATCCAGATCCACAAACATGAAAGGAAGTCTCTTGAATTACAACATTCCATAATCTAATTCCTTTATTTTTTTTTTGTTTTTATCTAATTCCTTTATTTGATCGAATGAGACTTTCATCTAAGGAAAGCCCTCTAAAGGTAATACATGGACACAAGTACCCACGAGCATTCTTCAGGATCCAGAGGAAGAAGGATAGACCGACTTATGCTACAAAGCCACCGAGGGTTTTCTCTCCTAGAAAAGCGCGGCAAAGAGGAAAGAAAACACGAGAAAGGGTGATTTTTTCTCTTAAGGAGGTGCGGTTAAGGTCCATAAAATATACCCTTAATTCCCTCTTATTCCCTTAAATGTACCCTCTAATCCTTCTTTAGCTAGGAAAATCCATAAAAGAAAAATAGTCAATTCTAATTAGGATTTTGCAAGGTTTATGCTCATTGGCTGACTTTTCTGCATCCTAATGCTCATATTTAACCACTTAAAATATTTCTATTTAAGCCTATAATTTCCATAATTAATTTCTCTTAATTTTGGCTTTTAGCACTGAACTTTTTTAGTAATCTGATTAAGTCCTAATCATATAAGGAATCATATTCATATTAGGAATCTTATCTACCCATGGATTCTAATTTTATTCACATGTTTCTTTTCGTAGACATTTCAATGTAGTCCTAGATGCTTTTAATCTACACTTAACACAAAAATTTAGCATTAGTGAGCCATGGCTTTATAATTGAAGATTAATTAAACCTACCACAAAAAACTTAGCATTAGCATTAGCATGCCAATGATTACGTTAGTTAGCATGCTATGTTAGAAAAAAACTTAATGGAGGGGTCAAAGAGGGCTAAGAAGTTAAATTTTAGGGATAAAAAAATAAGATTATTTTAGTTGAGGAACTAAAAAAGGGCTGCATACAAAAGTTAAGGGACAAAAATAAAGTTTTAATATAATACAAATTAGCACTATCTCCACCATGCCATGGCTTTGTAAATGATGATTAATTAGAAATTGAAAGACCAATTTTTCTTGTTCATCTTCATTGCATCTTAAACTTTAGAACAAAGCATAGAAAATAGAGAAAACCGAAATACAGGATAGGAAAAAAACAGAGAAAAAAGAAACATAAAGAAAAGGGAAAAGGAAAAGGGGAGAGCAAGGGGAAAAGGGGGAAAAGGAAAGGAAAAGGAAAGAGCAAGAGGAAGGATTTACAGAGAAGTCAAGAAAAATGAAAAGAAAAGTGAAGAGTGGGGTTTTGAGAGACGAGAAAGTAGTACAAGGAAGAACTAATGCAAGTGGGTGAGTAAATTATGGGTGTTGATGAAATAGGAAAGGAGAAAAGGAAAAAGAAAATCTCCTAGTGTGGCCATTTTCATGAGTGTACATATCATAAAATTTTTATTCAATGTTGATATTCTTTTTTCTACTTTTTAAAGCATCATTGCTAAATAATTTAATATAATATGCACCTAAAGAGTCCTTAGCATTTAAAATCTTGGAGTATATATAGCTAAAATCATTTTGATCAAACTTTGAACTTTCAATAAAAATGTTTTTCAAAATTAATTATTTCTTTTGATAAAGTTGAAAGTAACTTTATCATCAAATTGTCATAATACATGCCATTTTTTTGTCTGTATCAATAGTCTCACCTGTGGGAGAATACTACTTTTCATATGGAATCTCTTTGTTTTTAGGTATGAGGCTTATTCATGGAATTTGTCTTCCACAAAAACAAAATAATAATAAAAATAAAATAAAATCATCAGTATATGTATATCAAATAAAAAAAGTTGAGAAAGAGTTAAATATTTTTCGATTTGTGATTGTGTTAATTTGTTTTAATGGTGAGTGTTAGGGTGTGCCAGTGATGAAGGATGATGAGTCAACAGCAGTGATGATGTGGAGGCTGACTAGGATGCCACCCATAAAAAAAGTGAAGAGGTTCTTTTTAGCAGCACTCACTTCATGTGCAAAAAGCTACGTGCTTTGGACCATCTTGTTCTGTCCAGCGATGATGTTCAGTGATGATACCCAACAATGAACCTTCCAGCAAAGTCTGAAAATATAAATGTTCTAGCCAAGCTAGGAGAGCTGGGCAATGATGACGGGGTTTCAAGGACTAAGGATGATTACACAACTATCAAAGATGACGAGAAAAAGATGTACATTGTTGTAAGAGCAACAAAGATGGAAAACACATGGGGATCAAAGATTGCAACTTGAAAAATGACACTTATACATAAAATATTGTGACATAATAATAATGACAATAAATGTGGCCCCTATCATCTCTAGTAAATATCCTCACTCTATAAAGAGCAACCCTCATATTGAGGATGGAAAATACAATAATCCCTCTCTCGTAGCTCTTTTTAAAGACCAAAGGGATAAACTTGAAAGTGGGGATGGGAGAAGGAGGGATGATCGCTTAGAGGCTTGTGAGTGGAGTGCTTGATCTCGTTGTTGATGCTAACCTTACAACTTGATCATCTGATGCTCAAGAAAAACTACCCAGAAACTGAAACTGTGATATGCTACCTCCTAGCCATGATATGTTGCAAGACTAGAAGCTATTCTGCAGTGTTGGAAATGTAGAAAAGATGGAGAAAATGGTGGTTTCTGAGTGATTCTAGTGTGTAAGGTAAGAGGTTGGAGGTGGAGGATTTTTTTAGAGGAAAATGGAAGCTTGGTACGTAAGGAAGAAAGTTGGAAGTTTCGAGTATTTGTTCTTCTGCTTTCCTTAACAAAAGAAGAAAAAGAAAAAG